GTCAATGTGGCCAATGACGGAAAAAGGAGGATATATTTAAGCAATATATTCATTGGCACTTTTTACACCCCTTGAAACGCTGACAGATCCTCGTCTTCATTTCCAACTCAATATATTCTCGATAAATCCTTTGGGTGAAAGCACTGAAAAGCATGTCTGCTATCGACATGTTTTGATGCATTTCAGAGCGCGCGTGCGTTGTTCTAGCGCATCTTTGAGACCGATGGAGAAGTGTAACGGGAACACGGTGCTGTTGTGGAGCTGAGGGTGTATGGATGATTCGTGTCGACTGCTCCCGAAGCGCTGGAGTGCCGCACTGCCCTTGATGCTCGTCCCCAGCAGATGCGATCCGGCCTCCACCGAATTGGACACCCGGTGTGCGCCTGTTTGCCGTCCTCCTTCCAATTCACGCGTCCAGCTGTAGCTCTGAGCCCTTTGATCCTGGTTTTTCTGCTGGACTCGGGCATGTCAGTGCTGAAGAGGGAGCCGGTGCTGCATAGAGAGGGTACCCTGGTTATATTTCCTCCAGGTGAACGACCTACCCAACATTTTGATGATGCGGCTCCTTCTGAAAAGGGGGAAGCGACACACAGACGGATCCAGCCAAGCAGGGATTCAGTGCATCTGATTTACAATGCAAACTTGGGTGCTACGTTTAAAAACGCAATGCCTGTCATGGGCATCACTGGACTAATTTGGTGGTTTTCCTTTGTGTGTTTCCATCCCTTGCGTCCATAGCGAAGACACCCTGTGCAAATCTTTGAAGAACACAAAGATGGTGATGGAAGTAATAACAAACACAGCGCATGCAAGCCCCTTGCCACATTATATAGCGCAGTGATTTTTAAATATATTCCTCCAATGAAAAACAGCAGAGAATCTTAACGCAGACATGTGCTTATATGGTCGCTGTTCAGTTGCAGCGAGGTGCTGATCGGTGTTGCCAGATTGCGCGAGAAAAACAAGCAACCTGGACATGCTTACTTAAAAGCTGGATCAAGCAATGCTAAATTGCACCTTATTATTTTGTAAATAATTAAAATCTATCTCTGTCGTGCTTATGGATGCACTATTTAATATTAGGATTATATGCACCTTAACATAAACGATACTGAGAAAATTGTTCTTTCAAAATACACAATAAATAATGTTTTCGAAGTTTAACTGTTTAAATTGTTTAACTAGTTAAACGTTGCCAAAGTAGGCTATAGGCAGGGTATTTATTAATTTATTTATTTAGGGCCGTCATACTTATTTTTTACAGGAATAAAAAAACGAAGCGTCAAAGTAGCAATGGATTGTACTGTTGTTTAACAAAATACCGATTGTTCAGCTGATGAAATATCTTTCTGAAAAATTACAAAAAAATTTTTTTTGTAATTTTTGTAAGTTGTGAAAATTACATGTAAAGACTTTAAGTCAATCCCTCACAATCTTATTTTCATCTGTTAAATTCAGTATGGTGTCTAACATGATTAAGGTCTATAATAAAACTTTTTTAAAGTCACTTAACTTGTGTCAATATATTTAATATTTTAATTAAATTGACATAAAAACATTACTTTAGAGTTCAGACGATGTCGTTTAGGTTGTGGCGAAGGAGTTACTAAAAAAAAAAGATACAATCTCTGTTCATATTCTGTATTTTAAGTGCTAGAAAAAAACCAGCTATACTCTGTTCTGTAGAGTTTAGACGACCTTTTTTCTGAGAAAATGCAGAAACACTTTTGTGCTATAATGAAGGTCAAGCATCAGCAAAACTAAAATACGGTAATATACTCTAAACATTAGGCCAACATTTAGGAATTTATAAGCATTCAATTTATAAGCATCTTTAAAAAAAATATGTCGCTTATAATAAGCGGACATGGCAACACGGGTGCTGGCGCTGCGGGCGTGGTCTACGTGACGTCAGTGACTCCTCTGCTCTCTGATTGGTCGGACACGTGTAAGGCGGAAGTGGAATCTGCCCCGCGCACTTCCTGGACACGCATCGACCGGTCGTTCAAGCAGCTCTGTACCTGACTCGCAGGGGTCGATGGTCATTCATTAGCGCGGCTCTCTCTTATCCGCACGGTTTATGATTGTGGCTTTGCTGCACAGGCTGTCGGAGAAGCTCCCACGCGTCGTGCACAGGTTGAGAGTGATGATGAAGCCGCAGGTCGTGTTTGTTTTGGGCGGGCCTGGCGCGGGGAAGGGGACACAGTGCGCGAGAATCGTGGAGGTAAGAGAGATCTTTTATCGTATTCATAGAGAATAACTATAGAAGCGCCGTATGCAAGACCACGAGGCTTTATGGGGCTGCTAGAGTGTTAATGGCTTCAGATTAGCATGGATCGTTAATTTCCGTGTGTCCTCTAAGACATTTCATAAGGAAAATGCCATTTCCCTGCACCATTTGGTCCCTTTAATAGCCATACTATGTTTCATCTGGCATGATGGTATAATAAAATTGATGGAGAGATAATTTTCTCTGAATGAAAATGTGTTTTGAGTTGTAATAAAGGCCCTGGAGGGTTTCCACATACATATTAAAAGCTATGAAAACAAATAAAGTGAATGTAACCATGTAAGCCTTTATATTATGTGCTAAAATGGTTAAAATTACATTTCATTCTAACACTGTAACATTGCGATCTAAAAACAAAAATAAGGCTTTTAAAGCGCAAGTTAAAGGCAGAGTAAGTGATTTCTGGTAGCCAATGTTGATATTTCAAATCACCAAAACTAACACGCCCCTACCCCAAAAGGGTCTTGCCTCTATTCTAATAGCTCCGCCCCACACATACGTACACAACCCAGGCAACAATTAGTTCTGTGAAACAAAGCAAAACCAATGTTACACCGTGTCTACAGACGTGAGCGACGCGGCGCAACAAATGCTGACAGAAAACTGCTGCCGGGTTCTATTTATGATGCTTTGATTTTTATCCGCCATCTATATCTTTCTGTCGCTCAGCTCGGCTAATGTCCGTCCCGTGCACTGAACGCTCTCTCCGCCACATCATGAGTGGACACGCCCCTTATTGCTGATTGGCTACAAGTTTGTTTTGGTATTCGGCCCAAATCAGTTTTCTAAAGTGTTTTTGAAAAATCACATACCCTGCCTTTAAATTCACTAAACTAAAAATAAAAGAGAACAAAAGCACAGTTGTGTTAGGCTATTTTGATTACACCATTACAGTCAGTGCTATCATAAAAATAGACTTACTTTAAGTTGTAAAATTCTACATGTCACATTTCCGGTCCAACTACAAGTATTTCAGTAACATATATATTCTAGTCAGAATTATTGCGCTCCTATTTAATTGAGCTCTGTCTGTTTGGCGCTCGTTCACTGAAGTCTAGCGGAGAATCCCAAAGCAGAAGGCTCATGCACTTCTGACAGAAAAATTGAAATATTTTCCATGGCTTTCTAACATTTACAGATGGAGAATATATACCTGTGAAATGTAAGTTATGCATTCAGGAAGACCGCACATCTCAGGCTCAAACACATTAAATAACGCGAGTAGCCTAGTGTCTCTGTCAGCGGCACAAGCAGCCTTTCAGTCAGAGCATATGCTGGCCGAGCCGCTTAAAGGTCCCCTGAAATGCTTAGAAACACGCAGCGTTACTCTGTGTTGACGTCATTTGAACTGAAACAGGAAGACAGGGCGGGACATATCAAGCAGCCCCGCCCCTTTTTAAAATAGCCAATAGCGTTCGTTTATATCACAGCTTGGGCTAGAGCCGTTCAGAGCCGTTGAGCTCCATAAAGCCGCATTTGACAGGGTATGCCAGCCACAATCTCATCCATATTGCTATAAAATATAGCATTCTGTGTAGAATTCAAATAGCTCTGATACATTTTGTGGTCTGCGCCGACTCGCGCATGTGATCCGCTCTGTGCTATCTTGTCTCTGGACCGGAGCAGAGTGTGTGTGTGTGTGTGCGGTGCGGTGGTTATTGACGAGGCACAGTGTGAAACCAGACTTCTTTTTTTCCTCAATGGAAAGCATATTTACACTGTTTGAATCATTCCCTGTCCCCTATATAGTGCACTACGTGCCATTCACTGTACAGAAAATACAAATTCTGTGGACAAGTGACCGATTTCAGGCGCGGTTTCAGCGTATATTTTATAGTGTAGGGAGCGGGCGCTTCGGATTCTAGAGAGCATTTGATTGGACAGAAAGTTTGAATCGTTGAGCCGTTTTGGCGGAAGTGACGAACTGCAAGCTTTGAATGCTTATATCTTCTAAATGCGAATTTTGTCACCGTTTTGGAGCACACTGCCTTATAGATCACCTTAAGACTAACATATTGATACTAACACCCAAAAAACTTTAATTTTGATTTCATGGGGACTTTAAAAATAATATGCGAAACGAAACTATAAACTATGTCGTACCAGTTTTTAAAAGCCTTAATATGAAGCTTGTCACATGTTTAGAACAAATTGGATTATGCGCTTTCTCCACAGCAGCTCAGTCTGTATCCGCTATATTTTCAGATTCGCTCATATCAAACTACTGTATATCGATATAAACGGTATTGCTTCATGTCGAATAGCTTATAAAGAAAATATTTATATTTTATTAAGAGGCCCTAGCCTCTTTACAGTCCAGTTATAATTCTGATGGACCAGCCTTTTTTGAGCAGGTTAGTCAACTAGTGCTCTGCATTTATCCCATCCAAAGTACACACACACAGCAGTGAACACACACACCATGAACACACACCCGGAGCAGTGGGCAGCCATTTATGCTGCGGCGCCCGGGGAGCAGTTGGGGGTTCGGTGCCTTGCTCAAGGGCACCTCAGTCGTGGTATTGAAGGTGGAAGAGAGCGCTGTACATTCACTCCCCCCCACCTACAATCCCTGCTGGTACGAGACTCGAACCTGCAACCTTTGGTTACGAGTCCAACTCTCTAACCATTAGGCCACGACTTCCCATATCTATATCTTCCCATATCGACTTTATCTATAAATGGATGTTTTCAGATATTTATCTTTACTGAAGAAACATCTGTATTTGTCAGGCAATGGAAGAGACCATGAAAGCCGATGAAAAGAAGTTCCGCTTTCTTATCGATGGGTTCCCACGAAACCAAGACAACCTGCAGGGATGGAACACTGTCATGGACGGGAAGGCGGATGTCAAGTTTGTGCTTTTCTTTGACTGCGGTAATGAGGTGAGGAGCAGCTTAGGTTTGATAAATTTTTTTAATGTATTTATTGCACTACTATTACAGCTGATTTAAGTGCCAGCTGATTATTGATGTATCGTTTTGAATGAATAATTGGAATGATTTTTGGAAATTGTAACGACACACAATCATGATGGTTCGGTACAAACCTCAGTTTTGATGTCATTGTTCGGTATGGTTTCAGAAAGGCAGGGTGGAATAAATAATCAAAATGGTTTACTGAACAAATTGTTACTCTGACTAAAAGAAAAAAATCTACTCCGAGCCCTATTACTTGCACATTACTGTAATATTAAAGGTTACAAATACCAACAAAATCCAAACTATTAAATTCAATTATTTTTTTATATATAGTAATTAACACTTAAATAAAAAAAATTGTATGCAAACATGTACATTGCAGTTGTTACATTTAACTTCTAAATCTAATTATAAAGTTTCTATTTGTTGTTGAAATCATTTGCACAGTGACGGTTATAACTTGTTAATAATTGAGACGGTAATTAAGAAAGGTTAAGTGTATATAGGCTAATGTTTAGTGAAAGCATTTTGTTTACAAGCTGTTTTTTGATGTCTTTCTGCGGTTGAAACACTGGTTGAGTGATTACATGAGACATGTTCATTCATGTTTATTTCATGTTATAACTAGTAGTAAAGCTGATCAGTCATAAACACCAAAAAGATCACATTCACAATTGATACTGTCTAGATTGAATGTGATTTCCAGCTTTCGTGTATTTCAGGTTTGCATCGACAGATGTTTAGAGCGGGGGAAGAGCAGCGGACGCACCGATGACAACAGAGAAAGTCTAGAGAAAAGGTAGTTCTCCCCATTATAACTGTATCCGATAAATTGAGCTATATGCGAAGCATGTAGTATATCTACTGTAATAATTTTAGCAGACCTCAGAAATTTGCGTTGTGTTTGGTGGCAGTCACTGAATAGTTTGGCATTATATGGAAGTGTATGGACTACTTTCTCTTAGTTTACAGTCACTTTGGTTGCACTTTTGATTCACCTCAAGTTTTCCTAAACATTCTTGTTTCATTTTCAGGATTCAGACATACCTCCAGTCCACACGGCCCATTATAGAGCAGTACGAGAAGCAGGGGAAGGTGCGCACGATTGATGCCTCCCGATCAGTGGATGAGGTACGACTGTTTTTAGCTTATTTCATTAAATCTGTTTTTTGTTTTAGCCTGAGATTTTTGGTGCAGTTCTGCATAAAAGTTATTTTGTTAGGCTTTATTAATTGAACGTTTTTGAAAGACATTAACGCATATTAATAAAAACAAAAGTAATAGTTCCCCCAAAAATGAAAATGTACTCCCCCTCAGGCCTTCCAAAATATAGAGGAAATATGTTTCTTCAATTCTTCAACAATTTCTTCAACTTGGAAAATTTGGAAAAATTAATCTGTTTTTTGTTTTAGCCTGAGATTTTTGGTGCAGTTCTGCATAAAAGTTATTTTGTTAGGCTTTATTAATTGAACGTTTTTGAAAGACATTAACGCATATTAATAAAAACAAAAGTAATAGTGTTCAAAAATGAAAATGTACTCACCCTCAGGCCTTCCAAAATATAGAGGAAATATGTTTCTTCAATTCTTCAACAATTTCTTCAACTTGGAAAATTTGGAAAAATGTATCATTACATCACTTGCTCAGCAATGGATGCTCTGCAGTGAATGGGTGCCGTCAGAATGAGAGTCCTAACAGCTGATAAAAACATCACAGTAATCCACACCACTCCAGTCCATCAATTAATGTCTTGTGAAGCGTTTGTAAAAAAAACAATACCATCATTAAGACATATTTAACTGCTTAAATCTCTATCCATTAAGTCATCTCGTCTGAATCAGTAGAGAAATATTCACAGATCAAGCACTGTTTACAGCTCTAAACAAATATGTGGGTGAAGGACAAGGGGTAGACTCTTTCACGTTTTCATTTACAGACAGCTCACTTCACAAGACATTAACTGATGGACTGGAGTGGTGGGGATTATTGTGATGTTTTTATCAGCTGTTTGGGCTCTCATTCTGACGGCACCCATTCACTGCGGAGCATCCATTGCTGAGCAAGTGATGCAATGCTACATTTCTACAAATCTGTTCTTATGAAGGAACAAACTCATCTACATCTCGGATGGCCCAAGGGTGAGTACATTTTCAGCAAATTTTCATTTCCGGGTGAACCATTCCTTGAAAGGACAAATTTTCATTAAAATCCCAAATTTATTTAATTAAGTGTGCTCATCAAGATATCTTTCACTAGAATATATATAGTCCCTCATATAACGATGTTCTTATTCTATTGTGCATAGACATATTAAATGAAAACTTGAGCTTAAAACAAACCAAAAGTGAAGTGTTGCCTTGACAGCTAACTGAAATTGAAGTACTAAAATTATGAACCTAAGACTGAAGTCAAAATAAATCCGAGCTAAATAGAAAAATAAAAAAACTTACAAAAGCACATAACAAAATTACTTGAATTAAAATGAAAAACATTGAAATTGAGTTTGCATTATGAAAATAGTTTTCTTTGTTTTTATACCATATTAATACATCGATGTATTATTAAATACTATAATAATATAGAAATAATATTAAAGTGCTTTACTGTGCCGTAGTGCAGTCGAGGTAAATGATAAACATCTGTCCATTCTTTTTGAGTTTCATATTGCTTCCTTTTATCTGTTTTTTTTCTTTCAGGTGTTTGCAGATGTGAAGAACGTTCTGGAGAAAGAAGGCTAAACGTCCACAGCAAAAATCCAAATTCTTGAAAATTAAGGTGTCTGTTTATTGTCGGCAGCGCTATGCCTTCATGTACCGATATATATACATTTTTACTCATTCGGCAGTAAAATAGGGGGGGTTTTTTTTAGACGCGAGAGAGTGTGCTTATATCTATGTTTGTAAGTCTGAAAGGAAAACACTTTTGCTGAGCAAGCAATCCTTACTTGCTCAATACTACACTGATGAGGAACAATATTTGATTAGAGAATCAAGCAAGCTTGAGCAATAATGTTCAGTGCACTTCTGTAGGAAGAGAACATGCACGGTTCTGCTCTCAACTTCAGGATAATCTTCCATTCAGTGTATAAAATACTGCAGTTCCTATTGGCTCCTGCACTTAACCGTTTCATTCTCTAAGCTATGAATGACCAACAGGAAGCAAGAGTGTTGGAGTAGATTTCCAGACCTGTTTGTGTTCTGTTTGTTTTGTATAGTAATCCACAGCAGGTTCTGAGGACCGTTTGCTGGAGAGCTGAGTTTTAGCTGTATGTTTTTCTTTTATCAGATTGTGGCTGCTGTGTTCCAAACACGTGCCATCTTTGCTCAGGCAGTAGATTTTAAGATGTGGGGAATGGGGGCTCATGCTTTTATTTGATCGTCTCAGCATCTTGGTGTTGTTCATGAAGAAACTGAATTTGTCTTATTGTGACCGTTCCATAACACAAAACAATATATGGAATATCAAGGATGACAGAACCCACTGAAAAAAAATAAACGTTCTGATGTTGAATGTCTTCTGACTCCAATCTAATGCTCCGTTTTCATAATTCTGCACTACAGGAAAAGAATAAAAGCCTTCTTCAGTTGAATGCTAGTTTCACATGTATAAGACAGGCACTAAATGCATCACCAAATGTTTTGTTCTCAGGAAATAAATTGAAAATGTAAAAAAAAAAAGATCCAGCGTTATTGTCTCTTTTAAAAGAAGCATTTTTTTCTAGGATTTTTCAATGATGATTCAGAAGCTGTTAGTAATTTCTAAATTCAATTTAGACGTTTGAACTTCTATTTCTAAGATCAATAGCCTGAGGTCAGTATTTTTTCAAAGATTTTAATATAAAGATGTTTTATGTTTTCCACAAAAATGTGAAGCAGCACAACTGTTTTCAAAATGAATAATCAAAAATGTTTCTTGAGAATCAAAGCATGATCATGTGATACTGAAAACGGGAGTAATGATGCTGAAAATTCAGTTATGATCACAGGATTAAATGACATATTAAAATATATTGCAGTAGAACAGTTATTTTAAATTGTAATAATATTTCACAATATTACGGTTTTTGCATTCAAATAAATGCAGTGCAAGAAGGATAACTCTTCCTGAGCACACGTTTGAACGGTTGTGTGTGTCATTCTGTTTCAGTGTGTTGTTACTTTACAGTGTGTTAAACATTACAGGGTTGACAGTCAGTGCAAAAATGGCCAATAAAAGCCTTAAACAACAGAAAAAAAAGTTACAGTCAATTGGACAGTGAGTTACTTTGGAACGTTTGTCTATATAAAAACTTGGTAAAAATGCCAACATTACAGAACTGAAAGTGAGGGACAGAAATTGTGCATTACCTCGTAGTGAAAAACAACAGTTAATTCACTTGGTAATCATTTTAATTTAAATAAAGGTAAATTTAGATTTCAAATTCAATTAGATTTCAATATAACTCATTAAAGGGGTCATATGATGCTGCTAAAAAGAACATTATTTGGTGTAATGAAATGTGTTTATGCGGTTTAAAGTTAAAAAAACATTATTTTCCACATACTGTACATTATTGTTTCTCCTCTATGCCCCGCCTTTCTGAAACGTGTTGATTTTTACAAAGCTCATCGATCTGAAAAGCGAGGTGTGCTGTGATTGGTCGAATACCTCAAGCGTGTGACGGAAATGTTACGCCCCTCACATAGTATTGATGCCGTGTCCCGGCCGGAGCGATGATTCAAAAACATTAAAACCCATTATAAACGAGGCATTTGTTGCATCCAGTGGGGACATAATTACGGATTATAATGACTTATACTGTCTTTTTACGCATTGTGTTGCATCGCGCCGCGTAAACATAAAACCATGTCTGCATTTGTGATCGGAGAAATGACAAACAACAAGCGCTACTCTACACTGCCCAAAAAAACTCGCTTTAAATATATAAAATATAAAAACTCTTTAAATATAAAAAACGTACTTACAGTCTGTGAGTCAGAACAGCCGGCATTGTAGTCTACTCTCCCAGGATCAGGAAACAGTCCTCCATAAAATGTGCTGCACACATCTGAATATTTGGGTTGAAGTGTTCTGGAACAGTGTTGTAAATACAACTTAACCACTGATTTCTAGTCATGTCCTCTTTTGGAAGACCAAACAAAGTAGTTTCACTTTCACAACGAAACACAGCGCCACACACGGCGGCCTAGAGTGAGCAGAGGAGGGCGGAGGGCTTTAGTGAGCAGAGGCGGCGGATTCGATGAAGGAGCGTCCGGCGGGCTTGTGGCAACCACATGTGACGACCCCGGGCTGGACTCCGCTTCGTCCACGGTGAAAGCCGATCCGGCGATCCACAGCGCGAAGTTGATGTATTCCCTCAGCGACCAGCACGGATCAGCTCCAGGCATGACGAAGCAGATATCGTCCTCTTTTGGAAGACCAAACAAAGTAGTTTCACTTTCACAATGAAACACACAGTGCCTTCACGACATGGCGGCGGCGGCGGCAACAATACTACAGCGAGAATAAAAGTTACGCCTTCTTTCTTTGCGTGAACATTTGGGCGGCGTTATGCAAATCTTCCCACATAGTGACATAAACATGTGGGGGCGTGTTAGAATGAGCCGTTTTAGGTAGGCGTGGCTGACTCAACTTTTATAAAGAATATCTCTTTGGATTTGAGACTTTAGTCTTTGCAACTTTACAGATCTTCTTTATGCACCAAGAGCTTGTAACACTCCAAAGAGAAAGGACAAATTGAAATCGCATCATATGACCTCTTTAAATTGTGACGCTTCTCAACACAGAAAACACTTCAAACGTGATACGACCAATTTGGGAATGGCTATTTCACACACAATTACAATAGAAAAGATTATAATATCTAGTTTCTCAACTATAAACGCATGTGCTCACACTGTTTGACAGTTGTTCTCGTGCATGGGAGGGAAATACTAGTTGACGCCCTTTAAATGCACTGTAGATAATATAAATCTGTCAAATAAAGCAGACAAGCCTTTCTGGATGAATCCGTGCTTGTGAAAGGACCTCTCATGCTTCTGCACAACAATAACCCTTTGGACAAAGCTACATTCATACAGAAATAGTTTTGTGTTGTGTGGAAAAACTAGAAGAGCATGATAAGTGCCTTATATATATAATCGACCCCAGAACTTTTATAGGTTAATGAATCAGCGTGACGCTTCCACAATCTAATGTTAAACAATGTGGAAATATGTTGGATGATTAGGTTCTGTTTCCCCCCCCTATGAAATATATATATATATAATATAATATAATATATATATTTTTATAATATATATTTCTTGCCTTCACTAGTTTTCCTATGGTCCTGCAGTGTGACAAAAGCATTTTTGTTAATACTTTACAATAATGCATTAACTTACAATAAGCAATACATTTACTATAGTATTTATTCATTTTTGTTTGTTAGTTTATAATACAAATATTCATTTTAAGTTCATGTTAGCTCATTTAAAAAAAAAAAACATTAAAAAAATTGAAATAAAGCTGAACTAAAATAGTAATATTTAGGGGAAAAATTTTTTTTAAACTGAAACAAAATATTAAAAACTAATATAAATATTACTAAAACAACACCACAGAAATTCAAATTTCATGTAAACTAAACATGACAATGTTAATAGTGTGTAAAATTGTAGCTACACAAACCAAGTCTTGCTATGAAACTTGACAATAGATTAAAACATTTCTGTGAAGCATTAATCTAATAATAATCTAATAATGTTTTGTATCACTGAATGTCAGCACAACTGTAATTTGGCTGTACATATTAGCATTTAACTTTATAATATCAAAAATGTGTATGTAAATGTAAGATTCTTAAATATGCAAAAAAATATCAATAATAATAATCAAACCAGAACTTTGCATTTGTTTGGTATGAAATATTTAATTGCAAGGACCTTCGGCCCTCTAGTACCAAAAACAGCTGTACAAATACATGTAAATCCAATATAACTGTCAGACAAAGCAGAGCTTCTTTAAATGCACCACACTGACAAAACATACACACTGCAATTGCATAATTATATTTGTACCAATATTCCCCGTCATATATTATATACAATGCATAGTTTTACTGAAAAGGGAGTGAAATAGCATTCTTAATAAAAAATAAATACTAGAGATCTTAGACTATGAGCTTGATGTACGATGCTTGGCAGTCAGTATTTACAGTAAAATCTTAAACCATCATGATGAAATCATGCAGGCTGAACCAGAAAGTGCTGGTGAAATCCATATTTAAGAAATAATATGCAACGTCACCATATGAGTAAACATGGACATTGGCAAGACAAAGATCAATGCGGGCATCTGTATGTTCTGATGGCTTTTCTGGCTAAAGGAACTGTGGTTACCCAAGAGCTTGTAACACTCCCATAAGACTGACATGACACCTTCATAATCATGACATGACACATGTCGTGAATATGAAGGAGGTTTTATGCATGTTTATGACAACTGTCATTAAGTGTCATTTGCTCAGTTATGTAATTTTTAATGCAAAGATGACATTGTTTGAGATGTCTTTGTTATGGGCTATGGTTAGGGGATGCAAAGATGACATTGTAGGTCAAATAATGTCATATTTGCATTAAAAATGACATAACTGAGCGAATGACACTTAATGACAGTTGTCATAAACATGCATAAAACCTCCTTCATATTCACGACATGTGTCATGTCATGATTATGAAGGTGTCATGTCAGTCTTATGCACACCCCTTCAAGTAAAGTGTTACCGGAACTGTAAACTGTCTCTGAAGAGCTTGATGTGTTTTCACGAGGTCACGAGGGAGGCGACGGGCAGGTCTGTTCTGCTTCTGCGGTGCTGGACCTTGGTGTTGGTGACGGCTCCGTGCTTTTGTCGCAGATGCAGACGCAGCTGACTCTTGTGGCGGAAATGGAGGTCACAATTCTCACACTGAAATGAGAAACCAAGAAGAGTTCACATCAAATGCTTCCTCAGTTCTAATATTCAATACTGATATGTGAAAAAATGTGACCCTGGACCACAAAACCAGTCGTTTTTAAAAAATGAATAAATAAGCTTTCCATTGATGTATGACTTGTTAGGAATAGGATAGGATGACATTTGGCCGAGATACAACTATTTGAAAATCTGGAATCTGAGGGTGCAAAAAAAATAAAATAATCCAAATGTTGAGAAATTCGCCTTTAAAGGGACAGTTCACCCAAAAATGAAAAATTTGATGTTTATCTGCTTACCCCCAGGGCATCCAAGATGTAGGTGACTTTGTTTCTTCAGTAGAACACATATGATTATTTTTAACTTTAACCGTTGCAGTCTATCAGTCGTATAATGCATGACAATGGTAACAAAATCTATGAGAGTAAAAAAACATGTTTTTTTTTACTCTCATAGATTTTGTTACCATTGCAATGCATTATACGACTGATAGACTGCAACGGTTAAAGTAAAAAATCATAATTTGTGTTCTACTG